GACTCAAAGTAGGTTTTTACCGAAAAATTTTAGTATAATAGTACCATGAGTTGATTTTTAATTATTATTATCATGATATTAAATACATTTAATAATAAATTTGTAGATATATTGTCCCGAGGTACCCATCTCAATTCCCCTTTATTTCTCAATTAAGGACACCATCTACAGTTTTCTTGGGAACCTTGTTTTCGGATTCTCCTAGAAATTATGCACAGTCCCAAAATAATTTGACCTTAGATTAAGCATTTGTAACATCGGGGAAATTAACAGCGTGTTTGGTATGCATATAACTCTGAATTTATTTTATTTTAAGTGTCATGTTTTGCAGTCCAATGAAAACATAGATAATTAGGTGTCTAACTCTATTATCTAGTTTAGTTTATACCACAACCTTTCATTTTAGTTTTATATTCCGAAAATTTTGAGTGTGTTTAGTTTATAAAATTATTTTTTTTATATATCATTAATAAATTATATAATAAATAATAATTCTCATGTCTCAAATTTCTCTTTATCTATCCAATTATCCAAATTTAAAATCTCTAATTCCAAGATTTAAGCCTTTAATCGCTACCTCCCTGATTGTTTATAGAAATATTTTGACCGTACAAAACTAATCATATTTGAAGCAACCCACCGAACTGCCAAATTGGCTGACTTTTCTACTTCAATAAAACAGATTTCATTTATTTTACAAAATAAAGTCGGCAGAGAATTCGTTCTGTAAAAGGGTATATTAGGCCTGTCCTTGTCCTGTTAGTCCTTAGGTGATAGATTCTTGTAGATAAATTATGCTGATTCATGGTGATTATTGTGTGTATGCAGGACTCTCCAGTTGGAATACCTGGATCTATATCTCATCCACTGGCCTATCAGTGCAAAGCCAGGAAAATTACAGTGGCCAATCCCCCATGAAGAGCTTCAACTAATGGATTACAAGTCAGTGTGGGGTGCCATGGAAGAGTGTCAAAGGCTTGGCCTCACCAAGTCTATTGGTGTCTCCAACTTCTCTTGCAAGAAGCTTGAAAACATAATCTCCATTGCCACCATACCCCCATCCGTGAATCAAGTGAGTAGTTGACATTAATTTTATCAGTTTCATTCATTCCATGTTGCAAATATTAGAGTACTGGGGTTATTTAGAATGGTTTTGTAGTTTTGACACAATGAATATTGGATTACTTGCTTTGGAGTGTGATTTACCGCACATTAGGAACTTTTTTGATGGATTATTGACAATCAATATGATCGGCTTGATGTTGATCATAAAATGGTGTTACAAAAATGAATAAAGAACAGGAAATGAGAATTTGTCTTGTTTCAGGTGGAGATGAACCCTCCATGGCAACAGCAGAAGCTAAGGGAATTCTGCAAGGCCACAAATGTAATTGTGACAGCCTTTTCGCCTTTGGGAGCGAGTGGTACTAAGTGGGGCTCCAATCATGTTTTGGATAACGAAACACTAAAAGAGATTGCTAAAGCTCATGGAAAGACTGTTGCTCAGGTTCTTGTACATTGTTTAAACACTAATCTAATTGTTTTACATTACTCTTTAATATCAGTGATTTTAATAATACATATTTGGGACATTGGTAGGTTTGTCTGAGATGGTCGTATGAGCAAGGAGCACCTTTTGTGGTTAAGAGCTTCAACAAGGAAAGGATGAAGCAAAATTTGCAGATATTTGATTGGGAATTAACTGAGGAGGATCGCGAGAAGATCAACCAGATTCCGCAGCGAAGATTCATGCTTATGGAGGAACTCATCTCACCTAATGGACCCTTCAAAACCCTGAATGACCTCTGGGATAATGAGCTTTAGACCTTAAATTGGTCTCATATTTAAGATAAATGCGAATATATGCGTGCTGACATTATGGGAAGATCCTCAATGAATTTGTTAGCACACTTGGTCTTAATAGTTTATATGTTAGCTTTGATTTGGCAATCCCATATTACTCTAAGGGACTGTTTTGGGGGAATATTTTCTATATGAATAAATAATATGTTTTATGTTTTAAATAAAACTTGAATATTTATGAATAGTTTTCTTTCACTACCTCCACTTCCAAAGCTTCCTAAATTTTTTTATAACTTGTGGAAAGGATAGAAAAATTTAAGCATTTGAAAGAATAAGCTCCAAAAAACTACGTATTCAGCGTACCAGGAATACCTCAATACCAACATTATTGTATCAAAGCAAAAAAAGAAAAAAAAAAAAACACTAATACTAATGTAAGGAGCAAAATTTATTTTCAATAACCGAATCACACAATGCATCTCACAATTCAGACAAAAATGTGTGTGTGCATGTGTGTAAATCCGCTGTGGTGCTTCTTCAGTGAGTGTTAGCACATATACATTAAGGGTCCATTTGGTATGAAGCTTAGAAACTGTTGCCTTGGAAGCTAACTGAAACCTTAAAACTGCTCCTAATTGTTTAGTTTATTAACCTCTCATTTTTCTTGAGAGTTTACAATTTAGAAATTTTAGCTTAAAAGGTAAGTAAGGAGTTTAGTTGACTATGTTAGAAAATTTTATAAAGGTTTTCGTTAATTACATTTGATTTTTAAAATTGAATTAAATATAAAATTAGTAAAACTTAATTAAATTATATATTTAAGTGAATTTAGATTTTATCTCAATTTTATGAAGTGTAATATAAATAGGTATACAATTTGAAATTAAAGGTAAGTTATTTGATAAGAGTGCCTAAAAAATTATTATAATGAATTTGATCTCCTTTAACGTTTAGAAGTTTTTACTTTTATAAATAGTAAAATTAGAAAATGATATGATCCATCAATTATTACTGTGTAAAAATTGACTATGAAAAAAGAAAATCTAAATCTCAATATTAATTATATTTCTTTGTAAGTTTTTATTTGAAATTTTGAATTATGATGATCTTGAATGATTTTTAGTTTTCTAATCTTATATATTAATTACAAAGATTAAAATATACAATTTATTTATTTTGTTATATATTAATATTTTGAATTCTATATATGTGGAATCTTAAATTCTAAGAGACTAATCATCGTTCAACAACTTTGGAAGGACAAGCAGACAACTTTTAATTAATAGTTTCTTGTAGAAACTACATGCCCAAAATAATTTAAAATAAAAGTTTTTCAAACCTTAAGAAATTAGTACGGTATGGTTATTGCAATGGTGGTTGATGCTTTAAATGATAATATATTCAAAAAATATGAGGTGAATTGGAAACAAAAGTTTGACTATAATTTGAGCTTATTCAAGTTTCAAATTGGCTTTAAGTCTAATGAAGTTATTTGAACAAGGCTTGAACCTAGACAAGTTTCAAGCTGAGTTTGAGCATATATTGAATAGTTAATTCTGTCAATTTCAAACTTATAAATGCTCAACTCA